AAAACAGAATTACAGCTTTTTGGCTAGGCCCATCATTCTACTGTTTTCAGAAAAAGAAATTAGGTCTTTAAAGAAAAAAATACAGTCCCTACAGTCAAACATGGTGGAGGCTCACTGATAATTTGGGATTGCCTTGCGGCTTCAGAAACTGAAATGTTTTGACTGTGTGCATTATGAAATCTGAAGACTGCGAAAGAATTCTGGGGTGCAATGTAGAGCCCAGTGTCAGAAAGTTGGGTCTCCATCAGAGGTCATGAGTCTTACAGCAGGACAATGACCCAAAGCACACGTAACAAAGCACCCAGAAATGGTTTCAGACAAAGCACAGGAGAGTACTGAATTGGCCAGCAATGAGTCCAGAACTAAACCCCATAGAGCACCTGTGGTGAGATCTCAAAACAGCAGTTGGGAAAAGGAACCCTTCCAATCTGAGACACCTGGAGCAGTTGGCGAAAGAAGAGTGGTCCAAAATTCCAGTAGAGAGTTGCAAGAGACTCATTGATGGTTGCTTGCAGGAAGTGATTGATTTCAGTTATTTTTTCCCAAGGAATGTGCTGCCAAATATTAAATTGAGGGTGCCAATAAGTTTGTCCAGTACATTTTTGGAGGTTTGCGTGGAATACGTCAGTTTTGGCTTTTTGTTTCTCCGCTTTTTTGTGTCGTACCAATACAAACAAAATAAACAAACATGAGAATGCCTAAACATTTGTAATTGCAACAATTTTCTGGGCGAAGTGGTGCATCGTCTGCCAATATTTTTGCCCATGACTATATATCAATCTGTAACACTGGAATCCTTTAGCCAACATCTAAAAAGGTCATATACAACACACCCATCTCCAGTTCAGTATTTATTTTATGTGGTGTGGATACCATGTCTAGGTATTAGAAGAAAAGTTATTGCTCATAGGAGGATATCTTGTATGCCACATAAATCACAACCAAACACGAAAAAAAAAAAAAATTAGTAACAGATGCGAATAAGCATTCTCCATATCCACTGTAGCCTGAGTAATACAGACCTTGTAATTTTCCATTACATTCTTTGAAATGGTCTGAGCATTAGTAATATTACACACTCTGTGTTCTTTAACTTTGTGCATCCTAAGCAACCTGTCCATCATTCCCCGAGTACATTTTTTCTTTATATGTGTGTAGACTCTCATAGCCTGCTTTCTTTGCCCCCAGCTCCATGTCACACAGTGCCATTCCCTGAATTTCTGAGTAGGGGAGCTCATGCCCCAAGTACATCACATTTACACTGCAATAAGAACAATACAGGCTCTAGCTGCTGTCAATCACTTGCTGGGAAAAGGGAGAATTAGTTTTCCACCCCATGAATGCAAGCAAGGTAGGGAGAGTTGTGCCTGCCAGCCAGGAGGGAACAAACGAACACACACCCCTTCATAGGACTCTATTAGAAAAGGGAGCCACCTGAAAACATGAAATTGAGAAGGGTCTGTACAGCAAAGTAACCACAGCATTGAAGAGAGACATAGAAAACATACAATTGTAGATGCCTGTAGCACTATATGCATTTTAATTTTGAGGGTTTGAGAACACTTTAAACGCTTTCGTGACCAGAGTGTTTTTTCTTTTCATTCGTTTAAACACATGACAATGAAGATAAGGTGACTGCTATTGAATCTGATAAATTCAAACTCACCCAATAAATATTAAACTGCCAAAAAGCAGTTTCTAAATATGTCTCCACTTGTTAAACTACAGCACATTTCAAATATATTGTGAAGGGTTTCTTACAACAGATTTTTGCAAGTCATAGGGTCCAGTGAGGCAACAATGACAAGCATGAAGGTAGTATGGCACAAATGTGTATGTGCGTCTTAGGACACAGTTTGATATACAGTTGCTGTGACTCATGGATAAAACTTTGGACAGACTTTCTCATTCTGTTATAGAGTATGAAAGGGTCTGAACTGATGCCAGGCTTTCATTTTGATGTAGTCACTGCAGATAATTCTCTAACCCTTCCTACATTGGTGACATGGCTAGAAATATGACCAAAGTGAGCGCATGTTAACAATGCATGTTACGGAAATGCCACTATTTTGCAACTGATCTGACCTGCGTTGACTGAAATGTACAGTTGTGTTCAAAATAATAGCAGTGTGTTGAAAAAAGTGAATAAAGCTCAAAATCCTTCTAATAGCTTTTATTTCCATACACACAAATGCATTGGGAACACTACACATTCTATTCCAAATCAAAACATGAAGAAAAATATATCAAATTTGTGGTGTTCTTCTAAAAAAAATTGAAGAAAAGTAAATATTAGACTGTTCAAAAAAATAGCAGTGTTTGTTTTCTTCTTTACAAACTCAAACATTCACTATATAAACTGAAAAATGTTTGAAGATTTTGCTTTCCTAAGATCCGGGGATTGGGCTGGCCACTCCATAACGTCAATCTTGTTGGTCTTGAACCAAGATGTTGCACGTTTACTGGTGTGTTTGGGGTCGTTGTCTTGTTGGAACACCCATTTCAAGGGCATTTCCTCTTCAGCATAAGGCAGCATGACCTCTTCAAGTATTCTGATGTATTCAAACTGATCCATGATCCCTGGTATGCGATAAATAGGCCCAACACGTAGTATGAGAAACATCCCCATATCATGATGCTTGCGCAACCATGCTTCACTGTCTTCACAGTGTACTGTGGCTTGAATTCAGTGTTTGGGGGTCGTCTGACAAACTGTCTCCGGCCACTAGACCCAAAAAGAACAATCTTACTTTCATCAGTCCACAAAATGTTGCGCCATTTCTCTTTAGGCCAGTCAATGTGCTCTTTGGCAAATTGTAACCTCTTCAGCACGTCTTTTTTTCAACAGTGGGACTTTGTGGGGGCTTCTTGCAGATAGCTTGGCTTCACATAGGCGTCTTCTAATTGTAAGAGTACTCACAGGTAACTTTAGACCTTTGATCTTCCTGGAGCTGATTGTTGGCTGAGTCCTTGCCATTTTGGCTATTCTTCTATCCATTCGAATGGTAGTTTTTCGCTTTCTTCCACATCTTTCAGGTTTTGGTTGCCATTTTAAAGCATTTGCGATCATTTTAGCTGAGCAGCCTATCATTTTCTGCACTTCTTTATATGTTTTCCCCTCTCCAATCAACTTTTTATTCAAGGTACGCTGTTCTTCTGAACAATGTCTGGAACAACCCATTTTCCTCACAATTTCAGAGAGAAATGCACTGTAACCAGCATGTACAACATTTGCTGCCTTCCCTCCTTAAATAAGGGCAATAATTGCCACCTGTTTTTCAAAGAATGAATGACCTCACTAATAGAACACCACACTGCTATTATTTTGAACATGCCCCTTTCAATTAGTGATTCAAATACACAGAATCAGCAGCATGCATGTCATGACTGTTGGGTCTGTTGGATTTCTATTACTCTACTACACCTGCTAGTAAATTATTTGCCATGTAGAAATATAATTTCTACCAAAAACAGTGATTGATCAGGTTAGTGATGTCTGACTGCTATTATTTTAAACACAACTGTACATATAAGTGTGAGGTCCACCATGTTCCTTCTGTATGGAAGAAAAAAAAAAGAAAAACCCAAATCACCTGTACAGATTTACTGCTTAAAACTACCACTACAGACCAGTAATAACCCAAAATTTAAAGTGATTAGAAACACAATTTTTAAAAAATAAAAAACAGGTTTATACTTGCAATGGAAATGGAAACATACTCTTCTTGGTCCCACTCCCAATGCTCTTACTCTTGGTGTGCCCCAATAGTTAGAGGCACACCTGCAGGCTTGCTCCCGAGCTGTGCTGCCTGGGATTCATAAATACAGAGCAAGGCTCAGCCAAGCTTCCTCGTCACACGGTTTGAATGGCAGCAACGGGAATCAATGCCTCAGCCAAGCCTGTGAGAGTGGGGAGAGTCGCTACAGATGGGCACAGCACTGGATTGATTGAGGACTCATGTAAGTAAAGGGGTGTTAAGGGGGCACAATGCTACCTTTTTTTTATCCTAAATGCATGGAATGCATTAGAGCAAGTTTACACTGCTCTGGTGTGGTCCCGCTGCACTTAAGGGCAACTTGCAGCTAATCCACAGGTTTTTTGAGAGTTAACTGCGCTTTCTTCTATAAAGTCCTGCAGTTTTGGTGTAGTTTCTGAAAATGCATCAAAAGATGCAGCATGCTACAGGACCACATTAAAGCTTATGGGAAAGTACAGCTAACCTGCACATAAATACGCAGGTTACCTACGCTATAGCAAAAGCACTGCAGGGCACAGTGAAGCTGCCCTAAAAGTAAAAAATGTTTAGGCTTTAGAACCACATTAAGAAGCATATTCTATTCACAGCAAGTATAAGTAAAAAGCAGTTGCCCATATGCACCAGGCAAGTGTCACAATCGGATGGATTAACCGGATATACAGTAAAACCATAAACCCTACTGCAATAATCATGGTTATACTGCATAATTACTTTGTTTTACCAAATTAAAAACAAAAATTTGCAAAATACCATATTTTATTGTCATATAATCTACAAATCACTTTTATTATATAAACAAAATTACTTAACAATTTTTATAAATAGTTCGAAACAAACAGAAATCAGAATAAAAAAAACAAAAACAGTAGACAGTTTAACTTGGCTTATTCATAAGTGTTACACAAATACTTTCCATAGTTCGGTTCATATGGATCTTTGGAATGGTATTAAAGGCTTGTGTATTTAGCTTATTAGGACTTTAAAAAAAATGAGGTATTTTTGAACTGCTTATAGGTGTGGCAGAAAAAAAACAAATCCTTCTGATGTACCCATAAAAATAAAAACTGCATGTTTAGATCAAATTACTACAATCTAATCATTACCTTCACTGGAATCCTCTAACCAGCAGCTCAGTTTGTATGAACTATAATAGTATATGAAATAAAACTCCATATCCAGATTTCACATTATGTACAACATAAACCTAGGAAGTGAATTGAGGAAGACCATTTTATTGTGTTCTCAGCCGTGGAGATGCTCGTGAGCTGCTGGAGGGAGATTAAGAATGTTCTTGTGTTAAGGAAGACAAATCTAAAGCAGATATACAATCAGATATTATAATTAGTAAAGACGTGTTCTGGTTGTCTGGGAGAGACTTATAGATTCTGCAAGATAGAATACCTACCTTTGTGGCTTCAGGAACCATATATTTGGGGTTATTCACTGTACAAGTGGAGGCCTTTCAGGGCTTCATTACAATATGAACTGAATACTAATGAGAGGTTCTTAAGATGCTTAAAATATAAAAAATGCACGTCCTCTAAAAAATATTTTAGTTTTATATAGCCCTATCAAAATAGAACAGGCAATCTGTATCCCTACACAGTACTGCAAGCTATTCTGAACAATTTCAGATGGAAAAGTGGGGAGCTTCTAAGATAATGAGATTCAATAAGCCTTGACAGCTCCAGCACCTTATTAGGGCAGACAGTTTTGAAATTTAGTTTGCAAATGATAATGAGATCAGCCAACACAGCACATACAGGGTTAGTTATAGTAAACATTAAAGCTAGGCTAACACCGTTTTGGCCTTGCGGAGCACATTTACATGGGTATGGCATTTCATTCATATGAATGGGCTGCTGTGCCTGCACTTCACGCAGAAAAAAAAAGGTACCTGCAGCATTTTTAACCCGTAGCGACTGTAAAATCGCACTGTGGTGTTAGATGTGTGGGGTGCCATTAAGAATGAATAGCAGCACTTTTTGGTTGTGGGGACAGCTGTGATTCCTGCACCTACAAACATACAGTGTTTTTGAAGAACTCCTATTTCAGGCCTGTGTTCATCAATTCTTTATTTATTTCAGGTACTTGTATAGCGCTGTCAATTTACGCAGCACTTTACATATATATTGTACATTCACATCAGTCCCTAACCCTCAAGGGGCGTACAATCTAAGGTCTCTAACTTACATTCATACATACACATACTAGAGACAATTTTAGACAGGAGCCAATTAACCTACCAGCATGTCTTTGGAGTGTGGGAGGAAACCGGAGTACCCAGAGGAAACCCACGCAGGCACAAGGAGAACATGCAAACTCCAGGCAGGAGGTGCTGTGGCTGGGATTCGAACCAACAACCCTAGTACTGCCAGGCGAAAGTGCTAACCATTTAGCCACTGTGCTGCCCAATGTCAATATATGTGGATTAAGTAATCACGGAGACTGGAAGTTGTGCCCAATAGTGAAATGGAGATCTAAAATGTGCTACTGAAAATTAATTCACATCTAAAAGGATATTAAATTGTCACTCTTCAAATAGCTGATTAGTTGCTGTAGCGAGTCAAAGCGAGAAAGAGTTGGAACGCAGCCCAACAAGATCAGTTTGTGCTTGGCCCGTGTGAGGGCCACATTCAGCCTCCTCCAGTCCTTCAGAAGATCACCAAGCTGTTCAGACAGAAAATCATATTCCCATTCAGAAGTTTCAATGTTTATTCTGCTTGCAAGGACACAAATGTTTATACAACCTCTTCTAATTTCTTCCAATACACACAACTTAGACCATGCAAATGATAATATAGCAGTACGACATATCGATATTAAAAAGGAACATAAAAATCAAGGCTTAAAGGGTCAGTCTAACAAAACTAGGGTTTGTCATCAGTAGTTCCTGGAAGCTTACTTCTAAGCAGACAGATTTAAAATACATTACAAATGACCACGTTTTAAATGCATCCCTGTAGATCCCCTCAGATCCTAGACAAGTACTAGAATTGTCACCTAAACATTCCATTCTCTCCTGGTACTGTTCACGAAAATGTCAGAGCCTCTACTGTGCAATGAAACACTGGCATGTGATGGAGGTAAGACAAGGGCCTGGATTAATTTCAACTTTGACAGAACAAAAAGCCATAAGTACAGCGTGGATGGAGATATCAGAGCTTAGTCTGATATGACAATCATACCACCTGGGCTGGTGGTTACAGTATTATCCTTGCTATACTGATCTGAGGAGTAGTGTATTGGCTTTTAGAGAGTTGAACACAAATTTTCACAAAGAAACTAGCTTTGCACAGGAAGTAAGCAATGTTTGTTGGCCCTCCAGCTAAAGTATTTCAGGCCTGTATAGTTATAACACCAGAAGGCTGGTGCAGAGAAAATTTAGGTCAAAAACAAATAAATAAAAGGTGTAACTGACAACTGATTGAATCAGGCTGTTGGTTGCTGGTGGGGCATTTGTCAAAGGTTATTCATTTTAATCATTGGGGGCCACAAAAATACTCTGTGCGTTTTGACAGGCAGAGGGGGAAAAAAAAAAAAAAAAAAAGATATAAACCTTGATTACCATCAGCATACCAAAGAGAAATGGAATGAAACTTGCCTTTCCATTGGTATTGCTTCTCACAAATGAAACAATGATCACGCTTTTATCTCTCCCCTGGTATTTGTCTACAGTGTTAACCTCTACAGTGCTGGAGGACAGCTTCGCAAAAGAAGTGGAGATGACTTTTAACTGCTGCCGATAGGGAGCGATAATCCCAATGTCTGATGGCTTACAGCCAGCCTAAAAAATAAATAAATAAAAATTAAAAACAAATGGAAACAAGCACCTTACAAATACTTAGCATTAAGACCCAACCCTCAAATTTTAAGAGAACTAATTTTCCAAGGCTGAGAGCTGCTCTCCAGGACTTAGACTGGGAGGGAATATTGGCATCGATTAACACAACGCAGAAATGGGAGTTCTTCAAAAAGACTGTATGTGAACACACTGCAAAATATATTCCCATGGGCAACAAGTTTACAAGGCTAAAAATCAAACCTATGTGGCTTACGGCCAAAGTTAAAAAGGCTATAGATAATAAGAAAAGCTTCTATTAAATATAAAAATGAAGGAACACTATCATATTTTAAACATTACAAAGAATATAACAGAATATGCAAAAAGGAAATAAAGGCCGCAAAAGTTCAAAATGAACAACAGATTGCAAAGGATAGCAGTACAAACCTCAAATCTTCAAGTATATTAATAGTAAAAAGGTCCGGTCCGAGCATGTAGGCCCTTTACAAATTAATCTAGAGTGGGTGACTGGGGACAAAGAGAAGGCAAATTTATTAAATACCTTCTTCAGCTCTGTGTATACAAAGGAGCATGGGGGAGCTCTTGTCCATAATGGGCATGATATTGACACCGCTCCAGATGATCCACATGGGCTCACAATTGATATGATCAAAAAATATTTAGACAGAATAAAGGTGAATAAGGCACCTGGGCTGGATGGCATACTACCACGGGTCCTTAAAGAATTAAGCAATGTCATTTCAAAGCCATTGTTTCTAATTTTTAGGGACTCTTTAATGACTGGCATAGTACCATTGGATAGCCATTCGGCCAATGTGGTGTCAATATTTAAAAAGGGGTCAAAATCTTTACCAAGTAATTACAGACTAGTCAGTTAAACTTCTAGAGTTGGGAAGATACTGGAGAGTTTAATAAAAGACCACATAGATGAGTTCTTGCTGGAAAAAAATATTTTAAACAGACAGTATGGATTCATGAAAGCAGAAGTTGTCAAACAAATCTGATTTCTTTTTATGAGGTGAGCAAAACCTTGGACAGAAGGGTGGCTGTGGACGTGGTATACTTGGATTTTGAAAAAAAGTGTTTGACACAGTTCCCCACACACAGCTAATGTAAAGGCTACAGGCTTGGAAAAGAGGAGTAGTGGTTAATGATTCATACTCTGAATGGTCTAGGGTTGTCAGTGGTGTACCCCAAGGTTCAGTGTTGGGACCCTTACTTTTTCTGTTCAAATATTTTATTGAAGAAATTTTTAACAATTTACCACAACATATTACAGATATATAAAACGATCAACGTTCACAATAAGAAAATGTATAATCAAGAAAACAGGTAATTATTAGAGAAAACACACAATTTTCCATTATTTAGCCGGGAATGATGTAGCAGGGCCTCGGATACTTGAGAGGTATGCTCAGAAGATTGTGAACTAAGTGTGGATGAATATGTGATAAACCGTAGAGGGGAGAAGGGTTGGAAGGTAGATAGAGGGGGGGGGGAAGGGGGGGGGGCACCAGTCCAATGAATTGGTTACAGTATGGTAGTATATTATCGTAGTTGTCACTTAACAGAGCAATTAGGGTCTTGGAGCCACCGAGACCATTGAAGGCAGAATTTGTTGTATGAAAAATTTTGAATTGCTGTTCTCTTTTCCATCTCACAATGGAGATTAAGTTCTATAATGAGGGTTGAGAACAAAGGGGATGTGGTAGATTTCCACAATTTAGTAATATTGTTTTTTGCTATTGCTAGTATATGAATTATGATAGTACGAGAGTCCACAGGAAAATTATCTATTCCTATATGAAGGAGAGCTATAACTGGGTTTGGAGTCGTTGGAACTGTAGATATGGTGGAGATCAGCTGAAATACTTTGTTCCAATACGATGTGAGAGATTTACAAGACCAAAGTATATGGAGGAGCGTTCCTATTTCTCCACAGTGTCTCCAGCACTTGGGCAAATGTTGTGTGTAATAGAGATTGAGCTTAACAGGCGTTCGATACCACTGATGTAAGATTTTCATGTATGCTTCCCAATGGGAGTTACATTTGGATGCCTTGTATGTGGTATTGAAGGTTTTCGACCAAGTGCAAGGAGAGACTGATTGACGGAATATTTTTTCCCAGTTAATCAGGGAAGCAGTGTGAATATTAAACTGAGAGTCATTCATAATGGAGTAGAGAGGTTGAGATTCCCTTTTTGGGGTAATGTGATCTCTGAAAAAAGAGGTGTGCTCTGGAGGGAATTATTCGTTCTTGAGATATATCCATTGTATGCAAGGCGTGGGCAATTCTCATGTATGAGAATTGTTCATTGTCAGGGAGGTGAAACTGTGTTTGGAGGGTAACAAAAGATTTTAGCTTATGAACTGTATATAAGTCACGGATACGGGTTATACCTTGATTTTCCCATTGTGTGAGGTTTAGTGAGGGGATGATGAGGTGCAATGTAGAGATTGGAGTAGGAATTTTTGTTGTTTCATTGCTTGGGTAATGAGAGGACAAGAGGTCAAACCAGGCTTGTAAAGAGGCTTTTATACATGGGTGTTTAGATAATGAAAGAGTTTGGCTATTTAGAGGGAGGAATAATAGATTATCAGGAGTATATGGGAGATGTGACGAAATTTCTAAGTGAGTCCACAATTTTGTCTTTTGTAGGATGCCACCAAAAGAAGAGCTGGTCTAGGAGCACAGCATTGTAGTAAGATTTTAAATGAGGATGGCCTGCTCCGCCCCTGGAGGAAGGTCTTATTAGTAGATTTGTCGTGCATCTAGGCTTTTTGTTTTTCCACATAAATTTATTTAGTATCGCTTGGAGTTTATTAAAAAAGGTATTAGGAACTGGAATAGGAAGGGTACGGAAAATATAAAGTATTTTAGGTAATATGCACATTTTTAAAGATGCTATTTTACCCATTGTCGATAATGTGGGAGTATGGAGTTGTTTGAGCTCTCGTGGAATGGAGTCAAGTAGAGGTTTATAGTTAGCTTCATATAGTTGGTTAGTTGAGGGCGTAAGTTGTATTCCCAGGAATGGAATGCTGTGTGATTCCCATGTGAAGGGGAACTGTTTGCTCAGTATATTTTGGGTCTTAGGAGGGGTATATAGGTTCAAAATGGAGGATTTTGGCTCATTGAGCTTGTAGTAGGAGACTTCAGAGTAATTGTGAAGATGCATGCGTATCGATTGAAGAGATTTGTAGGGATTAGTGACCATCAGGATGATATCATCAGCAAAAAGGCTAATTTTATGGTCCATTTTGGAATGTGTAATACCTGTGAATGTTGGGTCATCTCTGAGTTTAGAGGCCAAGGGTTCAATTAATAGAGTGAAGATTATAGGAGAGAGGGGGCAGCCTTGTCTAGTGCCATTAGAGATTTGGAAGGGCTTGGAGAGTGTGCCATTAATTAAGACTGTAGCAGAAGGTTTGGAGTAGAGGGCGAGTATTGCCGACAACATCCAGTCTGTAAGACCAAATTTTTGGAGTGTGAGTTTCATAAAAAGCCAATGGATTCGATCGAATGCTTTTCAGCGTCTAAAGATAGTAACAATGATGGTTGTTTGGTGGTTTCAAGCTTGTGGAGGAGGGATATTATTCTTCTAGTAGCATCCGGGGCTTGTCTACCGGGGACAAAACCTACCTGGTCAGGGTGGATTAGCGTGGGGAGGTAAGGAAGTAATCTTTGGGCAATTATTTTGGCATAATGATTAAAAATCCTCCTGCGCTTGTATGGATAACCCCCCTCCTAATAAATAAGCTGCTGACACTCAAACCAATAACCTAATCAGTGTAAATATTATATATGAATTAGTGTAGCGCTTGATTATAAATGAAACAAAACCATTAATAATAAAATATATAATAATAATAAATGTGACTCGTGCTGTGATCTTCTCAGTGCTCTTATACCACTATTAGCACTTAAAACAAAATGAAACAAAAACCCTAAATAGTATAATACTAATAATAATATTTGTGACAAGTGCTGTGATCTTCTCTTATACCACTAAATGACACTCAATTTAGAAATGAGATCATCAATCAAAAAATATTTGGTGATAGTGTCACTTCAAACAATAAATAAATAAACGGGTGACGGTGCCATTTCAACTTCATTCAATGTCCAATATTCCTATTGACATCCATCTATTCAAAGTGTTCTTTATAACCATGCATAGTGTATGTAGATAATGCCACTCGTGAACCAACACACTTCTATCCACTTCGGCTGCAATGCCTGCTCACCTCCTTCCTGCGACCCCAAGGGGCCCACAAGCCTTTAGGATCACCCTGGATCCTCAAGATTCCTGGTTTTGGCGCCTTCCTGATATTCCTCCTATCAGGCCTCCTCCACTGCTATGCCTCCCAGGTTCCTCACCAGCGGTTGTCTGCACGCTCTCTCTCACAAAGATAGTGAGTGAAAAAAACAGATCCTCCATTGTGTAGTATTTCCAATCAGTAGGGTTTATTCATAAATAGCAACAAAAGGTGACTTACATACGGTTGTACAGTCTTAGTGCGTCCCTCTCTGGGTAAACTGCAACCTCTGATAGTAACTTCCTGATAACCAGGAAAATGGCGTCCCACACCGGAAGTGCGGCACTCCGGATACCGGAAGTAGCGTCTACGTTTTGCCTACGCGTTACGTCACGTACCTCGTGACTTCTTCTGGGTCTGTTTTAAGTGCTAATAGTGGTATAAGAGCACTGAGAAGATCACAGCACGAGTCACATTTATTATTATTATATATTTTATTATTAATGGTTTTGTTTCATTTATAATCAAGCGCTACACTAATTCATATATAATTATTTTGGCATATAGCTTTATGTCCGTGTTTAATAACGAGATCGGTCTATAGTTTTGTACCAGTTAGGGATCTTTGTTTGGTTTGGGAATGGTTGTAATTACTGACTGTAGCATTTCAGCGGGGAATATCCCCGTAGAGGCAACATGGTTAAATAATTCAGATAGATGTG